GGGAAGAGGCAACCGAGAAGGGAGGTATAAGGACCGGACCGTCTGGCCCAGTTGAGAATAAAAGGAATCCTTCTCTTCTGTGTGCCAGCAGTTCAGCAGTCAACGGTTCTACCTGGTTCCTCATCTTCATCTACCATCAAGATGAAGTTCTTCTCTGCCCTCGCCCTCTCCTCTCTCCTGCCGACGGCCGCCTGGGCCTGGGCCGGTAGCGAAAGCGACAGTACCGGCGCCGACTCCCTCCTCCGCCGCGCCGAAACCATCCAGCAGACGACGGACCGGTACCTTTTTAGCATCACGCTCCCGCAATTCACTGTCTACCGCAACGCCAGAAGCCCGGCGACACTGGACTGGTCCTCAGACAGCTGCAGCTACTCGCCCGATAACCCGTTGGGATTCCCCTTTTCGCCTGCTTGCAATCGTCATGATTTCGGGTATCGCAACTACAAGGCTCAGTCGAGGTTTACGGATGATAATAAGTTGAAGATTGATGGGAACTTTAAGACTGAGTATGTCCCTTTTTTTTTCTTTTTCTCTCTCTCTCTTTTCCTCCCTCGTTTTATTCCTCTTGTCTCATCCTTCCCCTTCCTTACCTACCCTTCTCCCTTTCCCCCCGTCGACGGTCTCCGTCTCTCTTCACATCCTCCTCCATGAGTAGATTTAATAAAACAGATAGCTAATCCAACCCTCAACCAACTAGTCTCTACTACCAGTGCGACACCAACGGCTACGGCTCCACCTGCCACGCTCTCGCCAACGTCTACTACGCCGCCGTCCGCGCCTTCGGTCGCACCAAGGGCGAGCTCCAGGAGGAATACGATCTGCTGCTGGCTCACTACAACGAGCTCGTGGCTGAGGCTATTGCCAAGGGCGAGGATCCGTTGTATTATTAGCTTTCTGTATGTCGGAGGAGGGGGATGAAGGCTATCAAGGGACAGAAAATTGACTTCCTTTTCACAACTTGGTAGCCGGTTTACCTATATGGTATGTGGGAACAACCCAGCCGACACAAGGTTATATACGGTTCACCGCTGCTTTAAACGAGCGGTTGTTGTTTTTTTCTTCTTCTTTTTTTTTTTTTTTTTTCCATTGAGACGACGCGTTTCGAACATGTCGTCGGTCACTTCTTTTTTGCCCGTGCTTGAACTCACTTGAGCATTGTTAAAAAAAGGCAATATGAGTGTGGTAACTGTTACTTGGGTGCGGCGAGTTGGGATGTAGTGATTCTGGATGCCGGGGTTAGCATGGTGTCATGTACTGGTACGTCGGTATGGAGGCACTGTTCCACGATGTATGTATACAGCATCCGTTAGTCCCATACTCTACTTTCCTGGTTGTCATATAGAGCCACAGACACTTCATACAGCATTGGTGTGAATCAGTTGAATGTTTTTTGCATATCACCGATCAACTGTCAGTTTCTCATATCCGTACACATTAATTGACGCCGCCAACCTTCGTCGATGAGTCGACAAGAATCAAATGCCTCAATAACACTTCTATTTGGTTTGTTCTTCCACCTAATCCGAAGCATTATCTGCTTCTATCATCTTTTAGACATTGCCGCTGCCTTACAAGGAAAAGCCAACATAGAAACGTCAATGACCATACCCATCCACAGTACATTCTCTACCAAAACTCCTACCACAGCGCATTATCCGCATCAGCTAGCCACAATCCCGCCAGATCTTTCGCCACGCCCAGCCTCAACCTCTGCATGACGTCGTCGCCGGTAGCCTTAGCCGGCATGTCCGCCCTCCAGTCCCAGCCGCGCTTGACGGGATTCATCTTGGCACCACTGCCAACCAGCCCGCCGCTGAGCGAGTTCTTCAGTTGGGTCGCCACCATGGTGCTGCCCGCCAGCACGAGGCTGCCGCTGGCATTCTTCTTGAGAAGGTCGGCGGGTGTGGTTCCCTTGAGACCGCCGGGCGCTGAAGCAAGCACGATCTGCAGGAACTCCTCGCACGTGTTGCGGACCCGGTCGCTGACAGCCTGGAGATCCTCGACGGCCTTCAGGATAATGTCGATCTGATCGAGGTTGAGGATAGGGAGGGCCTGCTGGCCGAGGTGGACGTTGGTGTTGTCTGGGTTGGTGACGAAGGCGAGAGCTTCGCCGAGGAGAGCGAGCAAGAAGTCCTCGCTGACGATGCCATCACGCGTCGGGTCGAGAAGGCCGCCCCGAATGTTATCGTCGGAGCTAGCGATGACGTTGACCAGTGCGGTGGCGGCCTGCTGCTTTCGTGCGTAAGGGGTGGCGTTGGGAAGGACGGCTTCGTCGTCACGGATAACGAAGTACTGGCGGAGTGAGGCGTACCCACTGAGCATCTTGCCGAGGAGCTCGGCAGCCTCAAGATCTTGCTTGGCACACTGCTCGAGAGTTTCGTTGCGCTCATTAAGGAGGCGGTGAAGCCAATCGTCGAGCTCTTCGTTTGGTGGGAAAGCTGTTGACTGGATGAGGGAGTATGAGATGAGGAGATTCATAACCTCACGAACCTTGTGCGGTTTATGTGCCAGAGCAAAGTACCACATCGCTTCGCCATAACGGTGAGAGTCGCGAGCAAGAATTTCAGCATAGGTCTAAGCGAACGATTAGCGGATATAGTCCTTCTGTGTGCCCTGAGACGTAGTACTTACTTCGACCACCTCTTCGGCATAAGGGATCATGCCAAGTTCGTTTAAGAGTGACCAAGTCTTGTCCACCACTTCGTTCGAGTCCACGTGCAAACTGTCGACAATATGCCTGACCAGGATTCCAATCATTTCCTCGGAACGCTCTTGCGAGTCCATCCGACCCAGCACATGAATGGCTAGCTCCCAGCCGTCCCGAGACTCCCCCAAATGGTCCGCGATCGTTCCGATATCCTCGTCATCGGTCAACTTCTGCGCGTACTGAATAAGCGTGCTGTCCTTGATTCCATCGATTTCGTCCGGCGCAGTGGGGTCGACTCCAAGCACATCCAGATCATCCTGATCGAGGCCCTCCATGAAGAAGGCTCCTGGCTGGTGCTGTGGAAGCCATCCACCCAATGAAGCAATCTCGGCGACCGCAGAGGCGATCGGAAGCGACCAGCCACGAAGTAGACCGATGAGACCCTTGACATTGTCCTCGAAAATGCACGCAATTCCCACCTCTACAGGATTGTGGGGGTTCAAGTAGAAATCCTCCTCAACGGCCACATGGAAGGCATTGTTCAGCCTATCCAAGTAACTGTCCGTAGTCGCTGACTGTGAGGCCAATGTGAGGGCTTGTGAGCGGGCCATGGAGAGCGGGTTCCCAAACTTATCGGCTCTCCTGTCATCCCACCAGGCAGTAAGACCGATCGTAGCCTCGCACCAGTCTTGCGCAGCATCGAGGATGGCATTCTTTGACCCCAAGACAATGTCGAAGATGATGTTCAGCTTTTCGTAGATTTCCCATGGAACCTGAGACTCGGCCCGTCTCGCCAGACCGGCCATAGACTCGCGATTCCGCGTCGAAGTAACGGAGGCCGAGAAATCGGAGAATGTAGAGTCGCCTAGCATGGTATCGCGGCCCTCGGCGAAGCGTCTGAGGTGATCAAGTGCACCCCGAGTCCGAACACGCCATAGGGTCCAGTCACTGTTCCATATGTCCCAGTCCTCATTATAACCGGGGCAGTTCTCCAACATAGCAACTGTTTCAGCCGTGGCGAGCTGCACACTTTCTAGGGCACGGTTTATGTACTTGTTTTCGCCGTTGTCTTTCCGCACCTTGTCCCACCCGGCTTGTCTGAGCAGCTTGGCCGCATCATCCACCTTACCCCTAAGAAGGGCGACAAAAATAGCCTGCCAAAAGAGAGCGTGACACGCCGGACTCGGCTTATATCGTAGGATTTCTTCCGTTTGGCCACTATAAACGTTGTGGTATTCGTCCAGCCACTTGAACAGTGTCTCAGGCAAGGGCGTAGGCCTAGTACGTCCCGTGTTGTCTTCATATCGTTCGTGGTGGACATGTAGCGCCAGGTTGGCCAGATAAGTCGCTTTCTCGAGTGGAGAGGTGTTGGGACCGGGTCCGATCTCCACCGTGTGCTCCTCGTCGGGCTGGGGGAAGTCGCTGATGGCTCTCTTCCAGAGATCAGTAAGTTCACCAGCGACATGCGCGAGCGCCTCGTCCAGCTTCTCCTCGTCCTCTTCTTCGCCGACACCCTCGTCATACAGATGCGTAACAAGCCTCTCGGTATTCAAAATAAGCTCTCCAGGCTCGATGAGGGAAGCAGTGCCCATGTGTGTATAGACGTCCTTGGCGAGGGCAGCGAATCTGAAATCGCGTATTCGGGGTCCAGACTGCGCAACAGAAGCGCGGAAGATACCCGCGGCTTCCTTCCGGACGCGCTCCGTTGCAGCTGGGGTATTGAGCATCATCAGATCGGAGTCGTCATCGCGCATTTCGAGGTCGCCGCCAGGTGCGCCGCTCATCAAGATGGAGCTGTCGTCCAAATCGTAGGTGTCGTCGAATGGCAGGCCAAATGTGCCTGACCGGTTAGCCTTGGTTTCCTGCTGGTTCGGCTCCCTCTCATCTTCATCGTCGTTGTACATGACTGCCTGGCCAAGTCTCGAGGGCTGGAGCGGTCCTCTGGTAGATGGTGCGCCGGACCGTTTCTGCGCGCGCTGCTGAGCAAACAAGGGCTTTTGTGGAGTTGAAGCGAAAGGCGACCCGGAAGGATTAAAAGAATTGGTGCTGGAAAGCAGCGTTTCTCTGCCTGAGAAGGTCATGTTGACGAGGATGATCGTCGGCGCGGAGAAGGGGCGGGCCGGCAGAAGTCGTTGAAGTTGGTCGACCGTCGAGGTTGGGCGATGAGCTCCCACCGGTTGAGACTTATGTCCCTGGTGCAGATAATGGGATCAAGATGCCAGATATGTTGTCGCTGCCACGAAGCGTCAATATCGGACCTCTGGAATTTGTCTTTTTGATGTTGTTGGGCGAGTCGCTTTGTTGTCTTCCTTCGCTGGAAGTTCGACCACAATCAGACTATCCCAGGTTGCTCCGAACCGTTATGATTCGTCAGAGGCGCCAATGATAGGGCGCGCTGGATGGGATGATTTTGTCCACCTCTGTTTGTGATGATGCTTTTTTTCTCGGACGCCGGTCGCGAGGTAAGTGGTTGTGGCGATGAACGTGGGTTTGGTTAGGTGTTATAGTGTAGTGTAGTGCGGGCAACCTGAAATGTTGATCTTGGGAAGCTCCGACAAAGTGCGAGCTGTTACTGCGGGCCTGGCAGGCCTAACTCTGGCACTGACGCGACTTTTTTCTGGGGGCACTTGCGCGACGCGGCATCTTCCGGCAACCTTCACAGTGAAGTACCTCTACCTAAACCAGAAAGTAACTTACATACACGTACATACAATACTAATACAATACACCAAGTCGATGTCGTTTCAATCGCGCACTCGTAGCTGAACACTCACGCAGGCCCCCGAGAACAGCGAGAGATGAAAGACTTTCAATCGCCATTCGCTCTGAGATACAAAAACACGACTCAGTATCTCTTTATACTAATCCTTTCGCTACCTGCCATTGCCTCACTAAGCCTCGGGCAGCATGGCATAATGTACCAGATGCGCCCCGTTCCGTTCCCTTCCCTTCCCAATTGCTCTTGAAATACATGGCACATTAGGATGTACGTCTTGAATGGTGATTTCAACAACGAACCGAAATAAATAAATAAAAGAAAATCAAAACGAGAAGATAAAGAAAAAAAAAAGACAAAGGGGTTGAGATCTCCTTCCATGTGAATGCTGGACGTAATGCAAGGCCGAAGGTGTGGTTACGTAGCCAGATCACACATCGATGGGCCTCGGATTGAGGGTTCCTTAAAATCGCCTAAGCGCTCTGAGGAACCGATCCATTCTTCTCATCAAATCCCAATCCACCTTCGTCAATGTGAGAAAGTCCCAGCTTCTCAAACCCCGCAACTCCGCTGTCCACCTCGTTGTAGCTAATACCTAGGCCATTTTGCTCCTTTGCGGGCCCCCTTTTGTCGTCACCAGTATTGTCTTCACTGGCCTCCACCAAATTCATCAATGCTGGTGGTCTGTGAAGCATCTGGCGCGCCTTGGTGAGCGAGATAGTTTTCTGCTGGTATGTCGTCGTGACTGCTTGGGTATCATCGCGATCAATAGTCGCCTTCATGAGAGCTGCCATCCACAGGCGACCCTGCTTGATGTTGGGTACTGCAAAGTAGTGTACTGTAGGCTTTGTGAAGTTCACTGCTCGCGAGAGACCGGCTCGTGGCGGAACAAGCTTGAAGATGAACATCTGATCCCCCTCTTCCGTTGGATCCCGCTCTGCATCCGCGTCTGCGAGCGTCTGGACATGGCTTCCAGCCGGGATTGCTGGGGAGGTACTAGCCCCCATAAGCGTCGCATGGAAGCCAGTCAAGCGTTCATTGTCCGCCGGAAGTACCCGATGGAAGGAAATGTCAATTAAGCCTTTCTCCTCTTGGTCGTCTTCAGAATAATAGTAAGCCAAGCGTCTACCCTTAAGAACAAAGAGTCGCGGCTTCCATGTGGTCATCAGGTTGGCACTCCTCTTCTTCATCCATCCACTGTAGTCCGCATCCTTGATCGATTCTCGTGGGCCGATCTTTTGTAAACCACGCGTATAAGCACTTGTCTCCTTCTTGGTCTTCTTCCGGTTTGCTGCTTGTTTCGCTGCAGAGGCCGCGGTTGCTACGGTGCTCAAACTCTTGGCAGTCTCCTGGTCGAGATCCAAACTTCGGCCGGCCGAGGGCGTGGTCGAGCCGGTGCGTGTGGGCGAATAAATAGACGAGTCTTTGGACGGCGTGTCCACTGGTGACGCCACTTTTGCTCGTTCGGTACCCGTGATCGCGTCTGAGGCGGCTCGTAGCCCGCCGAAGCCGTTCTTTAGCATGCCGGCCATATTAAAGTCCGGGTGGTTGACTTGGCTCAGGCGTTTGAGAGCCGATCTGGGAGAGGACCTGCTTTGCTCCGGCGATCCCTCGAGTTTGGTAACCGTAGGGTGGTTGCGTTCGATGGAGAGACGACCTGATTCCATGGTGGCCGTGGAAGCTGTGCGCCTAACCAGCCCGTAGTATTTCTGTGCAGCAGGCAAGATGCCAACTGCTTCACGGGAGGAATCAATGCTGCCTAACCGTGACTGTCGAGAAAGTGTTGTGGCGCTCCGCACACGCTGCTCTTCCGTGTAGCTTGTCTTTGGCGATTCCGCGAGAGCAGGCACCTTGCTCTCACGCTTCTTCAGCACGTTCCGCTGCCGAGAATCGGCATCGGTTCCTGACAAGTAGCCTCGATCCAAGTCTACTGCCGAATCCTGGATCTCAGGCTCCTGAACAGCCAGATTATCTTGTTGCCCGGCCGAGGACTCGGGATGGTTAAAGTTGCTTGCACTGCCCAGCGTCCAGTTTCGGTCGAAAGACGGTTGCTTCTTGTGGGGCACCTCTGTTCCGTGCAACGTTCCACCTGAGACTTTAGGGGTGGCCGGGGATGCTCCTGCTAGACGGAAATCAGTCGAGGAATGGCGACGGGAGTGGTGCAAGTCTCTGATGTCTGCAGCGGAGGGTCTCCTTTCGTGGAACATACGATTTGGGCTCTCCATCAGAGGTGAGACTGGAGACACGGGCTGGACAGGGTCCATTTTGGGGGTTTCCGACGAGCGCTTTGTCTGGACTGACAGAGACTGGCTGGTGTTGGATGAGTACCTTGGAGTCGACCCTGTGAGGGTGTTCGTCCTGCTGCGCATCTTCCCTTGTGCATCAGACCCGACCTCGCTCCCATACGTCTGGCTGAGTACGCGCGAGCCTGGCCCTTCTCCGTTGACCTCATCCTGTAGGTTTTTGATCTTCTGCCAAGTTTTTAGCCGTCTTCCCACAGACCCCAGATCAAAGGCTTTAATAAATAGTGATGTTTGATCCATCCCGAGAATGACCTCTCCGGTGATCTCCTGGTCACGGAACACCTCACAGTGGTGCTTCTCCACTCCTACCGTAAACAAGTACTCGGCGACCTGATCGGCAGACCAGGATTCGACCTCGCTTCGTGAATGGTTTCCTTCTTCCTCCTCATCTGTTTCTTCGCCTTGAATGTATGAGACACGGTTGCCTATGTGCGAGCTGTATTCGCTACCAGAATCGCCAGTGTTTCGAAGAGCTCCGTTGCTTTGCGGCGAGTTCAAATCCGTAATATGTTCGTCGATCACATTCAGAGTCTCGTGTAGGACGTGGCTGTCAGCGCCGGGGCGTCCGATACCCCCTATTGGCAAACTACTGCTGAGAAACGAATGTGCAGGGCCGTCGGGTGCTGAAGCTGGCTTGAAGGAGCTTAACGGTAAGGTTTCATCGGCCGATTTCCCAATCTTGTTGAAGTTGCCGTAAGAATAAGTGGAATTTGATGTTTGCTCGTTAACGATTTCGGCCAGCGGCGCGAGAACAGGCTTTTGGAGAGACGGGCTGCTGGAATGGGGCTTGGGTGCAGGACGCGTATACACTGTAAGGCGAAGTCAGTTACAGCGCGGGCACGAAAGAGCTGTTTGCCATGCAGCTCTTCTGTGGCTTATACATAGGAGGGGGTGTGTATACCTTCTGGGAAAAGACCACTGTTGCCATTTGCCAAATGCTTTCCCAAGAACCAGCCGTCACCGAATTCGTCATCGCGTTCAATCAGTTCCACGCGGTCACCCTTGGTTAAGCTCAACTCGTCCGAACTACGAGCTTGAAAATCGTCTGTGAAATAAGCGGGTCAGCCTCTTGTTTATCTGAAGTTTGCGACAGCCTTGACACCACGTGGCGCCGTCTGTTGGATCTTTAAAACACAAACACGCCCCGGAGAAGAAAGAGAAAAAAAAAACCAGAGAAAAAAAAGATGCCCCATGATGAAACTGTGTTGTGTCGAGCTATGACTGGAATAAAAAACGAACTTACGGATGACCACCAAAATGTCGCCCACTTCGGGCTTGTTGGAACCCGGCGCAGCCATCTTCAAATATTCGGCAATTGCTCAATTGCCGCACTCGTTTGTTGCGATATGGAAAGCTTAACCGTCGACTAACAAAACCCGTCGATGTGAGTCGAGACCAATGGGGGTGGGCAATCGGAAGGCGAGTTAAGGTCAAACTATAAGCCCAAACAGGTCGAGGCGGTGCAAGAACTCTCAGTCGCAACACAAAAGCGCGAGTGCCCAGGTTGCGATATGCAATTGGCGGAAGCGGCAGCTTTGGTTTGTTGAAGAATTGGTCTTTTAGAAGCACTATTTTCGTTCTATGTCCATCATTCGATCAAGGGGATTGCTCTGAGGCCTTGAACGAGGACGCAAACAGTAGGGTAGGAGCTAGATATAGGACCCAGTCTCGCGCAAGCCGTGACAGACGGGCGTAAAGGAGACAGATCGGATCAGACTCGATGTCTCTCAGGCAATCGTTGGCGGACAAGGCTCCGAATCGAAAATGAGCAGAGGCGTGTGCAATTCGTTACCGAGGCCGGTTTCCTTTGAATGTACCGCAAAGGCAAAAGTCTTGAGGGATCTGCGTATGTAAAATATGGAGACGGCGTCGCGATTGCGACAGAGGGCGGGCGAGGCGGATATGGTGGTGAGCAATATCAGGAGGCGGGTTGTCGTGCACGACAGGACGATGGCGACGGCGACGATCAAAGCCAACAGTGACGGCGACGGGTAGCGGATCGAGGGACGGGGGGGGGATGGCCCCAGGATGTCGTATCTCGAGGAAGCGAGAAAAGATTAGGTAGAGCGAATGGGACAGCTAAGCGGATGCCCACAGAGCGTCACACAAGAGCGAAACCGTTGGCTATCGAGGCTCGAGTGGCTCCTTGGGCCAAAGCAAGCCAGAGTGTTGTTGAGGTCGAGATTGCGCGCTCGCGGTCGGGAGGGGGAGGGAGCGTGGGAGGGTGAGACAGAAAACGAGCTCGACAGAGCCTGGGGTTCGGAGGAACTTTGAAGCTAAGAAAAGGATGTCGTCGAGTCGCAAGTTTGGGGTTCCAGGGAATGGAATGGTAGGCTGGAAAAAGTCACAATCAGGCCTGGTCCTTGAACCATTCAGCCTTTGGGGGCGCCAATGAGGTGTCGATGAGGGCCAGACGAGCGGCCGGAATGCGATAGTGATTGGGCCGCTGGGCATCCACGGAGCGTGCTTGTCATGGATCACCTCACTCGTCCGTGGTGGGCTCGGTGGGAACGCTGATAGTTGCTGCAGGTAGAACCACCGGAGAGGAGCCTAGTACCTCTACATACAGAGTTGGTAAGCGTTAGGTGCTCGCGTGGCCTTTTGGTCCCGCGCCAGGCGGCACTGGAGACGGAGCGGCAGGTACAGCTCTCTTTCACAGTTCACGATGCTTGAAGAAGCAGCATCCCCTGTCAAGGCAAAAAGGCTGCTTCCGTCTTCCCCTTAATACCGCCCATCATGTCAGACATGTCCACCATCTCCACCATATGCTTTGCCGGCTTTTCCCAAGACTTCTTCAATGTATACCTGCCAGGGCAAGGCAGGTCAAGTAGGTAATAACACAAATTCATACGGTAATCAGCGAAAGTGGCATCCCCACCACATATGGGATTTTCCGCTATCTTCCTTTATGGACGAAACTGCCGCTCGCGCACAAACTGACTCGACCCCAAGTCCTCGTTTCCTATCAACAGGCACAACAATGCATCACATTGCACTGTCGGCGGCTTGGAGTTTTTAACAACGCTTCAGGTTAGGTGGTCACGGTACGTAGTGTAACATGGAGTCCGGCCGGCGCATAGTAATCATCCATCTGCACATCCAAGGTAACCCTGGGAGGGATGATAAGCGCCACTACCCAACAACGAGTACCCACCGGGAATGCGAGGCACTGGAGGAGGGGTAGTGAGCGGCACCCTCCGTCTTCTTTTTATTATTAAATTTTATTTTTCTTCTGGCTTGGTGGTGTGCTTCTCAATCGGCATGTCTCTCTGATGCAAGTCGCTTTCGGTTTCATCTACAGTTGCGCGATTGAAGATGCACACAACAGAGTGCAAAGACCGCGTTTGAGGTCTATAGAGATGCTAATTCTTGAACACTGTTCACATGTCTTTTAAGAGCAATAGACAGCATAGAGAGATCCAAAGAACAACAACGTTCGGAAGGGTGGGATCACCCACTTTTACTACTGCACTCAATTCCCCCGCAATGGGTCTTGTATGATCCTGTTCTGTTGGTCCGATGTGGCTCCCGGCGCCGGCGTCGGGTTCTTCAACGTCACTGCTTCCCGGCCGTCCCATCGCTTCTTACCCGACCGTTTAACGGCCGCTGAACCTCGGCAATTTTGACGACGTATCAGTCAACAACTATTTCCTATTTGCCTAGGGTACCACCATCAAGATGCATCCCAATATCTACCAATAATCATCATCATCATCATCATCATCATCATCATCCTCAGAACTATTTGCAGCGTATTCTCATTCAACTTGTTTGCACTTGAGAACCTCACACACATACGTGCCCTTTTCCAATCCGTTTTCTCACATCATCGCCCCCAATCCTGTCTTTGGAATCCCCATCTTGAAGAAAACCAGCCCCACATCACCACGATGGCGCAACAACAACAACCCCAACTCAAAGGATATACATCCTACAAACACTTCAATGTGACCTCCGCCGGGCCTGCCTTCGTCGTCCACGTGGAGATCAACCGTCCTGCCAAACTTAACGCCTTTTCCGAGGCCATGTGGCTGGAGTTGGGCCAGATCTTCCGGCAGCTGTCGTCGGACCCGGACGTGCGGGCCGTGGTGCTCTCGGGCGCCGGCGACCGGGGTTTCACGGCGGGTTTGGACATCCACGCGGCCAGCTCGAACAACCAGCTGCAGTCGAGCGGCGCCCTCGACGTCGGGCGCAAGGCGGCCCAGTTGAGAAGATACATTACTGAATTTCAGGATAGCATTTCGGCTATTGAACTGTGCGAGAAACGTATGTATTGACTGTGCCGCCTTGTCACTACAGTCTTGGTTACCTAGGGTGATACATATACGTCAAGCCAATGAACCAGTACATGCGAATTTTGCTAACCTACAGAAACTCCCTGAAGCCGTCATCGTCGTCCTCCACGCCATCTCCCTCGGCCTCGCCATCGACATCGCCTGCGCCGCCGACATCCGGCTCTGCACGCGTGACGTTCGGCTGGCCGTTAAGGAGGTCGACATCGGCCTGGCCGCCGACATTGGCACGCTGAGCCGGCTGCCCAAGGCCGTCGGCAACTTCTCGTGGGTGAAGGAGGTATGCATGTCGGCAAGAGAGTTTGGCGCGACCGAGGCGCAACAGGTCGGCTTTGTCAGCCAAGTTCTCGACAGCAAGGTGGCTGCCCTGGATCAGGCGGTCAAGCTGGCGGGCTTGATTGCTGGGAAGAGCCCGATTGCTGTGCAGGGAACTAAGGAGTTGTTGAACCACGCAAGGGACCATTCAGTTTCTGAAAGTACGTTTTCCTGCTTGGTTTCTCTTCCTCTTCGTTGCTCGTTATCATGAAGAAAAGGCAAAACTGATAATTTTGACACAGGCTTACGGTATACCACCGTTTGGAACTCGGCTGCTTTGCAATCAAGAGATATGATGGACGCGTTATCGGCTAGTGTGCAGAAGAAGAAGCCCGTCTTTTCGAAGCTTTAAAGAGGATCAAGTAGTCCATCGCGGCTGGTAACTGTTACGCAGTGTTGAAGGTGTATAAATAAATGCATGTAATTCAGGGAGGGTTCGGCGACTTCAAGTCACTACGTATGCATCTCCTATCTACTAGGCAACTCCTAGTCACTATCTGCCAGCGGTTCCTCGGGCCTGTATGTTTCCTTCAGGCGCTGTTGTAGGTAGGATGGTGTCAGCAAGAGGAAGGTGATATAATCAGACATGATATTTAGCTCACAATGCGGGCCAAACGGTCACACTGGACATAGCAAAGGGGAAGCAAATGACTTACGTCCTCGAGTTTCTGCTTGAGCAGTTGCACCATGTTTTCCTTAACAACCAGAGTCTGCTCATCAAGATCTTCGATGATGATATCGTTGTTAACACTATCCAAGTGAACGATGATGGACTTGATGGCTGGTTCGCACTGGATGAGTACACCTGAGCCAGGGACCAGTGTTAGCAAGGTGAATATTCGTTTTGCGTTAGAGTCGTGCTGTGCTGTTGCTCATGAGTCTTGACTAGACGAGTCCATGTACACGTCATTTATATGGTATTTTATGGGAATTCATACTGACCTCTGATTGCTCTCGGCATCTTGAATAGCTGTAGTTTCTGGCGGGATGGCAAAATGTCTTGTGATTCTCTTTATGTCGCCGTAGCCCTCATCTAGTTGGCTTTTTGAGTATATGCTCTGAGAACAATGTCGTATGCGACGTGTTTTGGAATGTATCGGGCTGTGCTGGTAGTTGATCGGGATATGGTTGGATCGTTAGATGGTTGGCATGGAAGAAATGGGTTTGTGTTGCTGTATGGTAACTCAAATACAGCGTTTGAGCGTACAATTTGTTGGCAGCGCCTTCTCTGTAACGACGCGAGTAACCTGGCATGAAGTGATGGAGAAGCAGCGGCAGACACGGGTACCTAGGTACGCTTGCAGAATACGGAACATTACGTACGTACGGGTTCAGGTCAGAAAACTTCCCTTGCGATTACATACCCGCAATCATACTGAACCTTCAATTCAGGTGCTGTCCCTCCAGATCAGATGAATACCTAGATGATGAGGGCATTATGACCTTCACTTCAACCTCAATTGCAAGAACAGTGTGTATGGATGATTCTCACATTCCCTTACCAACAAGCTTCAACAAATAATTCGTCGATGAGTGGCCGGCTGGTCTGGATGATCACATTGGATCTTGATGGAAACCCCGAATGTGATCAAAGCAGTCACAGGCAAGGGGGGACGATGGCGTCTCCAAAAAAACGAATCCTGTAACCACTTTCCCACATTGTGTGGCCGTTTCGGGCCCTGGACGCTGCCAGGGATCGCTGGGCGGGAAGGCTTAACCGCTTGCAGTAAACCACCCCACCTTTTCGCTTGAGAGTGCCAGCGTGGGAGCGGAGATCGAATCTCAAAACTCGTGCCAATCGCAAGCTCAGATTAGTGATAGTATGGCTCGGATATTGGGTGCGGATACTGAGCGGTACCTAGACTGAGAGTTGGGAGTATTTCACGAGGATCCAGGGCAGGGAGCTGCGATGGAGACCAAGAAATATCTCTTCTGTCCAGGGAGGCCCAAAAGCCTCTTGTTTGCTCCTGGATTGCGGCGCGGGGACCGAGGTAGTATGTCGTTGGCTGACAATGATGAAATAGGTGCAGCAAACCAACATACCCTACCCGGTCGAAACATGCCATGTCCAGTCGTTTATCCGTCTTGAGAAAAAAAGAAAAAGAAAAAAACGTCGATGTGACGCGGGCAAATAGAGGTGACTAGGTACGACTTGCCGATGGCGGTTTCAGATTCTGTGCATCGGGAGCTCGATAACCGGTAGCGCCTTGTTACACCAAACTGAAATGTGACAAAAGTGAAAGACCCGACGAACTGTTGAAAATGTGATCGCAAACGAAGCCCGCATTCTTGAACATGGCGGTGCCTCCTTCCTCTGAAGACGGCGTTCTGGAAGCGCGAGAAGAAGACCAGGGCCAAGACATACCTCATCACTGCACTTGCCGTTGCCGTACAAGTTGTGTCGTCTGGCTGCGGTCAATCCTGCGGTGTAGTGACCCGCGCTGCAGTCAGAATGCCCGCACCGCACCCAGATAATAAGGTTGGGCAGTTGGTGAAATTACCTCCATCGACTGCAACCTCAGGTGCTACCCTGCATTGCAGATCACAGTATCCCCCGGCTTCACAAAACTAAGGTACTGCGTAAGCCAAAAAGACCACTGCAGTGAAGCACTCGGGCTGTCACTGGACAGTTGTTTCACGCACCAGCACCGCAGCTTCCCATTATCCACTTACAGCAGCCCAAGGCCCCGAGCTGCGCGGACCGGCATTCAACGCCATTATCACCTACACGTACCGCTGTCGACCGACCTCCATCCCTCATCTTACTTATGTTCTCCCCGACTCCAGCTCCCCCTCTCTCCTTCTTGTGAACATCAAAACCAGCGCTGACCGGCCCAGTCATGGTATCGACATCAACACCATTTGCCGTCAGATCGAGTAATGTCAGCGCTCCCGGTTCATCTACGGCATCCCGCGTCACAACCTAAAAAAATAAAATACCGCCAACAGTACCACAGCACCATACAGTACGGATTCCAGCTACTCAAGACTACCTCTGCCACGACTAGTCATGAATTGACTACGAAAGCACCCTTCCTTTTTACTACCTTGATAGCCCTTGAGGGGATCTGCCAGCCGACAAAGCCCTTGCCGCATTTTCCCTCCGCTAATCTCTTGCTAACCCGAGTCGAAATAAAAAAAAAAATACGGCGCAAGCGAGCGAGTACAACTTCATAGGATACGACAGAACGACACTTCTTCGGCTATCACTCGCTCTGGAGCTGAAGTTGGAGCCCCAACCTAAGCTGTCTCACCGACCCCTGAACATAGTTCTTCTCCAGCTTTCGTCGCGGCCCCTGCACCCCCTTTCGACCCCGCCTGTTTCGGACAGAGATATAGACCGAGATGTCCTCAGAGTCAGGGTTCGGGGGCTCCCCCCCGGGAATAACCGATGATGGTGATGACGATAACAACCACCCTTGGGTCTGGGTGATGATCCCCGTCGGCCTCGTCATCGTACTGGGCGGTTTGGCCCTCTGTCTTCACATCCGCCGACGCAAACAACTCCTCGGTAACCACAAGACTTCTCGTATTTCTACCCCGGCACGACGACCTTCCGCCCACCAAGCATCGATAAGCCACAGTCGTGACGGGCAGCTTCAGTTCGGAGTTCATGAGGTCGATGCCCCTTCGTTGGCATTGATCGAGCGTGACCTTCAGGAGTCTTGGGTGCGTGGGGCGCCGACACAGCGACGTAACAATACTGGCTCGAGATCAGGAACTGGGGGCGGGGCATGGGGTGGTTCTCGGTCGACGGGGATGAGGAGATGGGACTGGGCAGGTATCTTCAGACCCGAGGAAGGACTAAATGAACTGGGCGAGGCGCCGCCGCCATATGAGAAGCAGCCGGTTGCGGAAGAAGGTGGCGATGTTGATCTTGAAGCGGGTGGAAATAGTTATCATGGCTATGGGAACGAAGCGTCGGCGGGTCCAGCCGCGAGGGCAGGAATAGCGGCAGGGTCCGCCGTCGGCGAAGGAACCAGTACTGCTGCGTACGTCGGTGTAGAAACGCGAAACATGGCTCCCTGGAATTACCATACCACCTTCTCGCAACAAACGATATCATCGCCACCGTCGGGGTCACAGGCAAGTTTACAGCCACCCCCACCGGTACATTACTACCATCAGGACGGATCTGGAATACACAGCCAGAGTCACTTGAGCCACCTGAGCCAGCCAGGATATAGTAGTGTCGGCACTAGCCTGTTGAGCACCAGCATGACCCAGAGCGCCGCCACCACTGCGCCGACATCTCCAAGCATGACTAGGTATCCCTCCCCCAGTCCGGGACACAGTACCATCTACAGCCCGGCGCCCGAAATGACAGATCAAGATCAGGTACCACCACCTGCATATGAAGAGACGTCTCCCCTGTTGATGATGGGAACGGGGACCAACTCTCCGTCGCAGCAGCCTACTACTAATGATGAAACAAGTCCAGAGCAGCATGGCAATCCTGCTACTGTTTTTTCTTCCACTTCCTCTCCTGCCGCCGCTCCCACATTTGAGGCGGCGGCGGTCACTTCTGCGTCAGCCTTAGGGGCAGCTTCTCCCTCCCTTCCACCTGACCCATCGTTTGGATCATCTAACAATGGCAATAATAACGCCTCCGTTACACGTCGGTCTTCATCACAGTCTGGTGTGCCACCACATTATTAAAACCCTTTGAGGTTCCTTCTTTCCCGTTCCGTCCCTTGAGCTGAAGGGTTTGGTCAACTCGGAACGGGTGTTGTGAGGAAAGCATGTGGAACAAGCTGACGTTCTACAAGCTCGTTACTGTCTTTCTCCGTCGCGCTTTTGTGTCAAAATGACAAGGATCTACTTGGCAAATCAAAGCGAGACGTCAGCTCACAGGGTACTGGGGAAATGACACTCGCAACTGCGACTGATGGGAGGAACCAGCAGAGCAGCTTTGAAGGCGGACAAAAAGCGACCTCCATGAGAAGTGATCTTCGGAAGGGTATTTGGCGTGGCATACGGCGAATAGGACAGCAATTAAGGATGGTTTAATGCCACGGAAGGAGCCGATGTGGAATGGGTACAAACTATGGTAAAGGGGGGGAAAAAAGGGTGCAGGAGGGCAAGGAAACGTAGGTAAAACAGAACCTTGACCGCCAACCTTGCCTGGCTCACAAAATTTAACTTAGTAATGTAATGAAATGACAACAGCAAACACAAGGCGATAACATGAAAATGACAAGAATAAATTCGAAAAAGACTAATACTTGTTATCGAGAACTTCAGCTGTGTTCAAGTAACTGGCAAACTCCTTTCGTTCCTCACGTAAAGGTTCCACTTTTTAACGCTCCTCAAAAGGGTGAAGTGATTAGAAAAACCTCAAGTGACGGGATAATCACGGCGCCATTGGATACATTCTCTTTGCCGTGCCGCTATCAAACTGTCTGAACAAGTGCTGCTTCCGAAATATGCTCGGTGCTTGTTTCTGTCTTTTTCCTGGCTGTCTTCACCTCTTCCGTACCTAGCTCTTGCGCCTTCCTCGCTTTCCGCGACTCTCTTGTTTAACTTCCCCAAAAAGCGATTTCAACCTTTCCATCTTATCATGAGAGGGCCCAAGGGACCCAACTTTTGAGGATCACGAATAGACACATTCGGCAATTATCAACTGAAAATCCTGCGCGGTATAGAGGGATAGCCAGCCATGAGAAAGACGCGCAAAAAAAACAATGTTATACCCGATACGTATGATGCAATCCCAGTTTTCTGTCTCTGAAGATGAAGATAAAGTGATGGAGGGACTAATAGAGTGCAACGAACCGAAACAAGAGGTAACAAAAACATGATGCTCGCAAGATCGATGAGAAGGACTGCTTGGAACGTAAAAGAATCTTGTGACATCAAAACCCAGGACGGTCCTTCCATCCATCTAATGCATAGCAGAAATGAAAATACTTGTGATCGGAAAACGCAAACCCCATGCAATTTTCGTACCTTACCTTACCTGAATTTCAGAGTGTTCAAACCTCACCACCTCCTCCCTCATCGACACCTAGCATGACCACACGCGGCACCGCCTTGCTGTCATTGTCCGGTCCAAGAACACTCCGCTTTTACCCCATTGAAACCAAAAAAAAAGAGAAAGACAAAAACTAGAAACAGAAAAAAAAAAGTCAAAACAAATGTCGTGAGCTACTAACTTTTTTTTTTTTCAAACAACTCTTCCGATGCTATTCATCATTTGAATCTGACCTATTTATCCATTCATCTTTGTCCACCAGACAAACTCATTAATCCTTCTTTTCATTTGCCTTCTTATGTTCTTCCAGCGCGTCAGCCAAAGCCTGCGTGGTCTTCGTGGTGAGCATCCAAGTCTCCAAACCCTTGCCATCGTCCGTCGCCGTGGTGATCTTGATGTTCTTGGGCGCCGAAGCCTCGGGCTTGTAGGTGAAATTGGGGAGGATGATCTTGTTGAGTGCAATATTGCCGCGGGGTTCGACACGCATCAGCATGCGCACCGCACCGGTGTTTTTGTGCTTGAGAAGACGCAGGGGGCCGACTCCCTGCGTCTTCCACACGGAGGGCTTCTTCTTCTCCTTGGAGCCTTCGTCGTCATCGTCGTCGGGAGCGACGAGCTTATACGCCTTGGCACGAACTTCATACACGACGGACTCGTCCTCTTCCCCCGGGCCGCCTTCGACTAGCGAGATTTGCTCCTGTGGTGCCTCATCCCCGTCAGCGTGCGTTCCTTGAGCATCCTTGGACTCGGCGGCCACTGGCTCTGGTGTCCCCACAGCCGGCGTCGTGGCCAAGCTTGAGGCACCGCCGAAGGTTTTAGGGGAATCTGGTCGTTGCGGTCGATTAATGATAATTCACCGGCTAGAAGCGTCGTCGCGGTCGAGGTCTCAACTTACCAGTACCTGTTGATGTCCCCCCTACGGGCGGCGCCAGGTTGAATATGGATCCACCCCCAGAGGGCTGTTGACCACCAAAGGCGAACATGTTAGAGCTGCCATTTTGTTGTGTAGAGTCCTGGGCACCGCCAAAGGTGATGGATGGAGTGTTTTGACTACTTTGCCCAAAGACAAACGGCGCAGATGTACCACTAGTTTGGCCAAAGGTAAACGATGACGAGGTGGGAGTAGCGGCACCTCCGGTAGCAAAAGGATTGTTGATAGCAGCGCCATCATTACCTCCAGCTGAGAATGTGAAAGAAGTGTTGGCTCCAAAAATGTTACCGTTCGGTTCGGGCTGCGAAGGCTGCGAAGCAGGGGTGGCACCAAAGGAAAAGCTAGTGCTTGGCTGAGGTGTAGGTGCGGGAGAACCAGAGCCGAAGGTAAAGCTAGAGGTAGCAGCCGGAACAGGTTGACTAGTAGCCGGAGCCGCTGTGGACCCGAAGGTGAAGCTCGATGAAGCAGAGACAGGTGCAGGAGCAAGGTTATTGCTTCCGAAGATGGAAGCTGGCTTGGAGCTTTCAGGTTGGCTGCTGGTAGTACCAAACAAAGACTTGGAAGCTTCGGGTTGACTGCTGGAGGCACCAAAGAGAGGCTTCGAGGCTTCGGGTTGGCTAGTAGTCGCGCCAAACAGAGGCTTTGAGTCTGAGGGTGCGCTTGAGGTAGAGGCGCTACCGAACAGACTCTTGGTCTCTGCAGGGGCAGTGGTACTGGTGTTGCCAAAGAGGCTCTTGGTTTCGGCAGCAGGAGCAGTAGCGTTTCCAAGCAGACTCTTAGTCTCCGTTGCGGATGCGCTAGTGTTGCCGAAGAGGGTCTGAGTTTGAGTAGCAGGGACCCCAATGCCTGTACCGCCAAACAAACTCTTGACTTCAGTGGCAGGAGCAGGAGTGGTGCTGACGCCAAAGAGATTTTTAGTCTCCGTAGCAGGTGTAGCGCCATTGGTGGTGCCAAAGAGGCCCTTAGTCTCAGGTTTGGCAGCATCGGCAGCGGGGATGGTAGGGCCAAAGTTGAAAATAGAGGCGGCGGGCTTGGTTTCAGTACTGCCAAACGCAACCTTCTTTGCCGCCGGCTCGTCTGCTCCAGGAGAATTAGTCGCGCTGCCAAACAAGCTGGACGTGGCGGGCTTTGACGCGCTGGCCCCGAACAACGACGAAGCCGGAGCTTGCGTGGTTTGCGTTTCAGCCGCCGCAGGATTATTGAAGAGGCTAGTGGGTTGTGTCTTTGGTGGTTCGCTGGCTACCGGAGCACTGCCAAACAGCGTGTTCGACTGGAATACCGAGGGCTTGGAGGCCTCAGTCGTTGCGGGCTCTGCAGGCTTAGTACCGAAAAGAGAGGAGGGAGCTTGCGTGGTCTCCTTAGACTCCTGCTTGTCCTTTGCTTGGCCGAAGAGAGGAGTGCTGGCGCCCGAGCTGAAGAGCGAGTTTGTAACAGCCGGTTCTGGGGCCGACGGCGTGGAAGTACCAAAGAGGGAGGGCTTGGAAGCAGCAGTATCGGTGGTCTTTGTCCCAAACGAGAACAGTGAAGCTGCCGGTGCCTTGGGGGCTTCGGTAACAGGCTCATCGGCCTTCTTGGAAGGAACACCGAAAAGGCTCTTGGGTGCCGAGTCCTGAGCGGGTTCCTCTGCCTTCTTAGCTACAGGGGCTCCAAAAAGGTTGCTCGACACAGCGGGCTTGGATGTCGCAGCCCCGAACGGGTTGCTGGGGCCAGAGGAAAACTTGATGGGCGTTTCCGTGTTCCACGTGTTGTTGACTGGAGCAGGGGAAGAGGCTTGCTCGTGGGTTGTGCCGAGAGCTCGGTCCTCCTTGAGAGTGGCAGAGAACAAATCAGATTTGCCATCTTGAACGGGCTTTCGAATTGGTTGTCCGTCAGATCCTCTGGTGATACGGTCGAAGATGCTGCGTCCCTGGAAACTTCCTTCGGCGTCTGAGGAGGCACTAGACCCTCCATTCACCGCTGCTTGGCTTCCCAGTCCAAACTGAGGGATAGCAACACCAGTGCTGGCAGACCCATCACGCTGAGCTCCATGCTCATCCTCATCATCGTCAACATTGGAAGCGGTCTCGGCATCACTATCCGCATCGGCATCATCGTTGCTGCTCTTGCTGTCTGAAAGATGACCAAAGATGTTCTCAGAGGACGCGGGAGCCGTGGGACCAGTTTCGAATACGGATTTAGGCGCAGATTTGGTCGTAGCGGCCTTGGCAGCACCAGTCGCAGCCTTCTTCGCTGCCGCGGTTTGCGTGTTGTTGACAATGCTCTCAAAGACAGACTTGGTGGCAGAGGACGCCTTGGTTGGGGTTCCCGAGGCCTTTTGCAGCTTGGCTGGCTGGGCTTCGTCTGGCGATCCAACCGTTGAGGCCTTGCGCTTAGGCTTTTGCTTGATTGGCGAAGGGCTGGTCGGTTCAGGAGCGCGCGGGCGCTTGTTACCAGCGGTGGAAGCTTTGAGGGCGCCGTCAATTGGCGACAGATCCTCCTCGGCCTTTCTCTTCGAGCCAGCCGGTGTCTTTAGATTCGAGGATGCGCTGGCTTCTTCCTCGGATTCTGCAATTCCATGCTTTTGCCTCCATTCTTTCTTGACTTCTTCCGAAGCCCTAACCGTCTTGAATTCGTACAGGCCGTACCGCAACATAATCAAGCTACGGCTTTTCTCGTACTCCTTTGCAAAGTTGAGAATATTGATCTTCCAATCCTTCTTGGTGAATATCTCATCGGCGGCATACTTGAGTCGCCTCAAGTCGAGGATGCAGAAAAACTGCTTTTTCTGTTGCTCATCGAGATCGGGCGGACAGTAGTGTGCCAGAAACTCGTCGGCATAAATGGAACCGGCCCTGTTGGGGTCATCTGGGACTTCTTTAGCCAACACCTCGCCGGTCAAATGATGAGGAGGCTCAGGGATTCTCATCTTGAAAAGCTCCGTGTTGACCGGGACGGCGCCAAGGAGCTCAGCGGTTGTACCGCGCGAAGTGCGACCGGGGGTGCTCTGGGGAAGGCTGCTCTTCAGACCGCCAGGAACGATGCGAGGAGCAAAGGCCGTGCCGCCGGACCGCTGATAAAGGGAAGGAGTGCCAGAACGGAAGATATTGCTCGGCGCCGTGCTCGTGCCGGTTCCAGAAAAGCTGGCTGCTTTGGCACCATTTCCGTTGACAACGGGACCCTTGGCTGTGCTTGTGAAGGAAGGTGACTTGTAGGGGTTGTCGCCGGGCATCCTCCTCGTCGCGCCGGCCGCCGAAGCAGTATGGAATGTGATCTTCTTTTGCGGCGCCGATGACAGTTCTGTGAAGTCTGTGCTGGTGAAGGACTGGGCAAGCTTGCTGGACGGGCCTTGAGGGCGGCCGATGAGCTTGCGGAATGCCAACTGCGCATCAGACGCGCGCTTGGCAGGGCTTTCATGCGTTGCGCTGTTGAAGTCGATGCGCGGGACGGACTGGGCCTTGGTGACACCATTCTGCTGGGGGGACTCCGTCATGGAATTGGAGTCGTCGGCGGGCGCAGAGGAGCCGCGAAAGAGATTAGTGGCCAGGCCAAAGATGCTACGCCTCTTGTTCGGTTGTGAATCCATCGCGAGAGACTGGGCGGTTCGCCGACCGAAATGTCGATGGACGAGGGCAGAGATGTAGTTTTAGGAATAGGCGGGAAGCCGAGGCGGGCAGGTAGGTGGTGTGGCGGTGTTGATTATTCCAGAGCCGAGTCACAAAGGCAGGACTATGAAAGGACTCGCTGTCGCTGTCGTGCATAAACAGAAACCCGCGATGGGTTTCGGCGCGTTTGTGGGCGCGTCGCAAGGGACGAGGAAGCGAGGTGGACGGGATGCTGCTCGACGTGGTGGTTGAGGGTTTTGTGTGGGAACCTGGAAAGGCGTGGGAAATTTTTGGGGGTTGCGCGACAAGGCGGTCGGTAATCTAGTACCAGCAACGGCGGCAGCAGGCGTGGCAGCGGTGGGAGAGCTCAGGGCTTCGGCTTGCTTTCAAACGGTAATGAAGGGTAGATAGAACACACCAACCGTGATGGTGTGTGAAGTCCGAGACCGACACCGATGGCTGCTACTTTTACAGTAAGTAGCGACAGGGCTCGCGCGACCGTCAGATGAGGAGTACCGTGTGGTGGAAGCTCGTCACAGCAGCGAAGGGACGAGGGCGGAGGGCGGGCAGTATAAAGACCGACTTGGGTCTGTCAACAAAGCAAACTGGACGGCAATGATAAATACAAGTGGATGGATGCTGGCCCGGAAATGGGATAGAGTCGATGATAGCTGATGTGTTTGTCCACAGGAAAGCGTGAATGGGAGATGACAATCCTGGTTCAGGCCTGGCGGTTCAAGCACTTCTTGTTTCTTGATGGCGCCGTGGCGGACGACCGTGAGAAAAAAAAACACCCAAAAAAAACTGCAGTTGTCTGGATAGAGGCGGGAGGAGGAGGTGTACCCTACCTCTACCTACGTAGGTCACGTCGCTATGTGCTAGCGACAAGGGCGGCCGGCAGAAATCGTGGGTCGGCAGTGGCCAGTGCCCTGGCGACGGTGTCAGACCGATGGGGAGACTGGACAGTTTGAAGGGCGGGAACAGGAAACCAGCTAGGTATGCTCTCACCGTATTGCATCCTCGTGCACGGGCCATCCACCCCCCCGAAGAACACCGACACACAAAAAGAGGGATCGATGACTGTAGCGTCCATGCGCCAATGCAGTGGACGTGCAAACTGTCGCGATTCTCTTAGCTGCTGTGCACGGACCCGGCTGTGGTTTCCTGTCAGTGGAACGTCCACTTCGAGTTCTGACTGGATCGCGGTGCCTGCCGAACCACCCATCAAGGGAAGCCATCGGCCGCCATCGTGAGCCCCTCTGCTTCTCTGCCGGACCATACCTACTTATCTTTTTTGGGCGTCCCTTTGCTGTGCAGAAAGTCGAAAGGAGTTCATGATTCCGATTTGTTTCGCCAGTCGCAGCCAAAGCGAAGCCACCGCGCACAAATGGTACCCATGATCCCTTCCTCTCTTTTACCACCTAGTGTACAGTCTGGATTTGAACGGCACGAACACCTCGCAACCTTGTCTCTGTGAATGGCTCACCAGGGCGACACAAGCGTCATGCGCCACACTTATAAGTCGTTAGACACACTGCTGACCGCCCGCTTTCTCAAAATCCCGTTACGAACTGGGTTCGGCTAACTACTTTCTGCCCATCCTAGCCCAAAAGTTGCAAGTTCATGGGTGGCATGTGGTTGGCGTTGGACGAGCACTGTCACATGTCAATGACAACATTGGACGATCCGCGACTAATAAATGCGAAAGTCGTCGGGATGAAAGTCTCGACTATTGAAGATAAAGATACAGAATACTGACGGACAGTTTGAACATGATTCACGTTGTGTAGAGAGCCGCTGGCTATACCTAAAAGCTTCCCCTTCCAAACGAGTATTCGTAGAGCACAACACGAAACACAACTAGCACCATCACCATCCCACCAAATCAGTACACGTTCCCCAGATAGCTATGTTCTTCTGAAACGACAGCATTATGGTATCATGCTTTATAATTTGACTATTTTTTTGCAGGTGTTTTTGGGACTTGCTCGCATGTAGAACTAGATTTATTTAGAGCTTAGCCTTGGTCTGCGCATTCTTGAGGATGGGGTCGAGCTTGGTGGCCTTCATGACATCGCCCTTGATCTTGAGCTTGCCGGACATGAAGAGGCGCTGGGCGTTGGCCTTGCCGGCAACGAGGCTGGCAAAGTCGGCATCGGAAAGGGAGAGGGTGACTTTATCACGACCAATTTTGTTAGTCGCATCATCATTGCGCAAAACTAGAGCATCGAGGCACGACTGAAAGGGCAAAGGCAAATGGATGGGCAAGTGGAAGGAAAACTAACCGGTAGGCTTCTCGCCAAGACCCTTGCCAACCTCACCCTTGTTCTTGAGGTCAATATGCCACTCGTCGGTCTCGCCGGCAGCGTTCTTGATAACAAAAGCAAAGACGGCGTTGCCCTGCTTGATGGCGTCTTTGCGGTCAGCTTCGCTGCCGGTGAGAGCGCTGTTGATGGCGTCAAAGGCGGCGGATGAAGGGAACTTGTCTAAATCGTCACACGGCTACGGTCAGCACTGATTCGGTTTCAGGAACACATGGAAAGTCTTGCGCCATCACGGCTGGTACAACAACGACAACAACAAAACGCGCGAAGGGTGTGAGCGGGTTTGGTCCATCGCTAGACATACCGTTTTTGAGAGACATGTTGAAAAATTTGGATTGAAGGGGTTGGTTGAATTAGTAAAGTAAAAAGGTGAAGTGAGTGACGATGGATTAGGTATACGAATAGTAGTGAATAATGTGAACGTGTTGGCTATGGATGGAACGGGATGGCAGCAAAGGGGAAAACAGGGAGGGCGACACTATATAAACCACAAGTGACACAAGAGAAGACAAGGATTCCCTATGGGCAGACCTCGAGCAAAGGTCAACCTTTCACCAGCAGGCGGCTTTCCAGGACAAGCTACGGGACTACCAACGAACAGAGCTACTCAATTAAGCAAGCGGCTGCGCAAATCACCTGGGGAATTGAATCTGGCGTGAGTTTCACAAATCATCTTGGTTCCCTGGCGTCGACCTTCCACGGCTTCTCTGTTGGATGCGATGACGCTTGTCCTGTGACGGGAGGCAATGCGCCGAGGTACATTTCACATGCGGAGAGATGGCGTGCCCAGAAAGCTCGGTCGACGTTCGTTGCCGACTGCACGCTTGGTCGACAGCGGATGCCAGCCGGGACTGTCTCCAACGTCTACCCCACTTGCACAAACCTTATGTATATATTCCGTCCGCGCGGTCGCATCTCATTGCCCATCCTGTACTGTAACGCATATCATGTACCTAGTACATCCTCTGTCACTACATCAATTCAGACGCTGACTACAATGCACGGCTCTCACGTGCAGACGCGCGATTATACATGCCAGAGAAGCAGTTCCTTCCATATATGCTGATATCGAATGTCGATTCTTCAAGTATACCTTGTTCTAACTGCGATTGTCCCTGCAACTACAAAATTGGAGACCGGGCAACGTTCGAGACAAGACTGTGATAATTACCGTATGGTCTCGGCTGTTACCAACACGAAACAAAACCAACGAGAATACACAACAACACAACAGCCCCGAAATTATTGAGCCAGGAGACTGCGGCATTTGACGGTTGCCACATGGGTATCAAGTTCGAACGAACCTTCTGTCACTGTCATCCAGGATCGTACTTTATTTGAGTATACGGTGGCCGTTGATGCTCGTCTGCCTGACCGTACTGGAGCCCTGTCCGTTGTCGATTCGTCTTTCCACAATCACGATTAGAGGTATGGTGTCGACGTCTACACCAACGGCACATTCCCATCGGTATCAGTCCGCTTGTACTTCATCACGTCACTGTTGAGGATAACAACGTGAAGGGGCTACAGTCATCGGATCTAGGAGGTCTAGCTCAATATCAGGAATGGAAGTTCCATATGTAACATAGACACGAGAACAGACTTTAGTATTCGCCCTTGCGAATCCAGTGTCTGGCATAAAAACTCATGGGTCTGCGCTAACAACCTTAGATACTACAGACGTATTCATAAAGGAGCTTCTCCGCTCAATTCCAAACGCAAAATCCCCGCGAGGATTGTCCCCTTTCCATCACATGCTGTTCTGGCCAGAGTCTACAGCGTTAGCCATCCTGTTCACAGGCACGAAAAGCCGACGCACGGCGGGAGCTACTTAACAATGCCCATCGCACAATAAGACAGCAATAAGGTTAGTCAGTCTGTAAAAGTTTTTTTAAAAAAATAGCCCTACTTCTCTCTGTGTGTGAGTGTGTGTGATAGGAGGAGGAGGACGACGAAGGCAGTAAATGGACCGCTTCTTGCTTAGTAGCATTTGGGTGCTTCTGACTTGGTTGCTCACAAGACGTTAGATATCTTGATGATAGACGATAGAGGAGTTGTCCAGTTACACGACATGTTGTTTTCGGTCACTTACGTGCTTCCCGGAGCAGTCATTGTGAAGTAGTCAACATCGAGGCCAGAACTCCCGGTTATGTCGGCTTTTGGAACTGCGTTATGTATATTGGCGATTCTGACGACTCTGTGGTCCTTGACAAGAAGTGTCGGGATTCCAATTCCAAGGCTAGCGAAGCGGCATCTGCGCTGATGCATGTTACCCAGACAGCCTCCGACTACCTTGAGAACGTTTGAGGTTACGTGGTAGACCGCGGTTTGAGCGACGCATTATCAAAACCCCTGGACATTGCAACCGTTCGCGATCTCCTCCTCGGAGATACTTCGCCAAATTGGCTGATGGGGACCTCGATTTAATGCTGCACCTTTTATTATTGTGATGCAAATTGCGCCTCCGATGTCTATATCGGTCTCCTGCACGCTGATGACCCTTCCTGGGCAAGGGCAACGGGATCCAGCAACGAGCTCCGGCGCCCTAGGTAGCCAATCCATTACGTCTATATGGTGACCCATCACTCGGTCTTTGTGCTTCTCATCGGTACAGCAACGACAAAGACAGGTCTTACCACGCCTACGGCCAGCGCTTGGTTGACAGGAACAATGTGATCATCCACAGATCTGCTCTCTGGGCCTCCCAAAATGCCATAACCGATAACAAGTGGCACGACGCAAAGCGTGACGAGACGTTTGCGGTGTGTCAGATTGATATGGTGTTTATGAGAGGCGTATTTAACATAGGTTGGATTTCGGTTAGCACGAAGTCAACCCGAAACATGACGTTCAGAGGAAGGAGGGGATAGGTGATAACAGCATATTTGACAACAGAAGAACTTGGTTCGGGACAAAGCGTCTGGTAGCGGCGCTCACGGCGCTCACGGCGGAGGTGGCCGTGATGATATTGAGATTATAGAGCGAGACTTCAGTCCTCTTAGCATTTTCCATTAGTTGAATAGTTCCATGTCGACTGGTGAAGGTCTGCCGCGGTCAGTCGGCAAGCCAGCCAGTCATCGAAAGCAAAACGAAGCTTGAACCAGCAGCAGCGAGGGAGAAGCAACGGGAAATTGGAACCAAAATGATAAACCCACGCAACCAAAGATATTTAACCCACTACCACACCTTTCCATCGTCAGCCCAGTCGTTCACAAGGCTACATCCCTAATCCACCGACCAAATCCATTGCCCTCGCGCCCGTATCATTGTTCACCGTCGTGGTTTGGATCTTGAAGTTGCACACCGCCATGTAAAGGCTTTCACCGCCCCCTCTCCTTCCTACAAGGGGTCATCATGCGCATCGATCACCAGACCAATGCCCAGCGACGGATTGGCGAGCAAGGTGGGAGGTTCCAGGGCGTCATCGATGAGAGAGAGGTCCACACGAGAAGCTATATGGGTTTGGCGATACGGTAGGTTCCCAGAGGCACGTAGGAGTATTTGATGACTTTTGCTATAGTTTTGCCGGATCGGCTATAAACTCTTTGTTTGCGTCAGACTGGGATGACTTCTTGCTGTGGTAGGGTTCATATCGGAGCAAGGCAGGTGTGGTATGCTAGGAAATCACAGCGGATATACTCGTCGAAGAGTCATGGGGAGTCACTGGTGCCGGTTTTGTCTACTCCGAGCTCTATCACATCAAAATATTGTTGATGGCTAGCACATCCAACCTTTTGTTCGAACTGGGCATGTCAACACTTCTGTTGTGTGTAAGAGATCAGCGGTTTTTTGCATGCCGGGTGTTCGCCGATATTTGCAAGGTCTAATTATGATGCGAAGGACATTTCAATACCATGTTGGTCTGAGTAGATGGGTATTTGCTGTTATGGCTGACGATACAGTGACTGGAAGGAGGAAGCGAAGCCACGCCACTGTCGGTATATGTAGGACCGTGGTAAGTTTCATCTTGACAGGTTGTCCTGATAATGATTATTGCACCGTAGGGTATATACTCCGGACTATGTCGTGATGCACCACACATCTCTAAAAAGTTCACGGGATATTTGAAGTTAAATCCCATTCAGGTACAGTTGCAAGCAGAGACCGGCCGCTGGGCGTGCTTTCCCACAGGTTCCTCCCATCCAGATGGAAAGTCGCGAACGTTAGTATTTGGAGAACAAGGCAGCCCCGATCTGCTTGGGTATTGACTGCGAGGGCAGCTTGGCTTCAGGCATAGACTTGACTGAAGGTTTTGAGGCAGCCAGCCATCATCAGCGTCGTCTTTCATCATGACAGGCATCACTTATATGACCTTTACCACATTCCATTATATCAGAACATGTACCTATTCGTAGCTTCCTTGGTAGTTACACCAGTGTATAATGTAACCGAATCAGACTGGTTTGAAAGCAATGGCATTTAAACTTGGCAAGAACTTAAATCTTGTGGATAATAACAAGTGGAAGGAATGTTGTTGTCACTGACCCATTGGGGAGTGTCATACCACGACTTCATCAACTTTGTAAAGAAAAAAAATGAAGAAGAAGGAGGGCTGGTAGCGATCCTGCTTCCGCGATTAGAAAAAAGGATGAAGATTCATATCAAACGTGTACCGATATATATAAAATATAAAAAATAAAAAGAAAGTTACAAATGGTCATTCGTGCGACGTGGGCCTGATTCGAACAGACGCTCCCGAAGGAACAAGATTTCTAGTCTTGCGCATTAGACCACTCTGCCACCACGCCTAGTGATTATTAAGTGTTATAAGCTTGGAGTCTATTCCCGCGTTCTGAGCAATGCTTACTGTTCTGCGGATCTGCGGATTGGTGCCGCGTAGAACCCGACCATGTTTCCTATGTACTAAAATCCCGCGATTCGCGGTGAACAGTTTCTCCATATTAGGATTCTGCTGTTATAACCCTTTGAAAACCAAGAAAATGCTAATTATATCTTGTCCCGCGTTGCCAAACTCCCTGCATCTGTCAATACAGGGCTGATGATGTCACCACGCGGGCAGCGGATGTTGCGCTGTGTCCACCGAGCCCACCCTCGATCTCTTCTGCACGCGCCGATCAACCGAATACATATTAACATACCACCTTCCTCATAACGTCCAGCTCTTTCAAGCTCTTCCATTTCTTGAAACATCTTCTCCAACTGCGGCGTCAATTCGAGTCTCTCCCACTTGGCTTTAGCTCGTGGTCCCCGCTCCTGACGCAACTCATCTGTTGCTGCGAACGATTTGCTCTCCTTACCTCAACTCAAATCCTCCCCCGCGGCCGCCGCGCAACCCCGCCACCTAATCTACCTATGCTTCAAACGACCGTTAATGCGTGATTATGGATCGCGTACTCAAATCTTAACTCAGCAGCCAAGCCCTAGTCTGAACGTTCATGATCGCGTCATCAACTTCTTTCTTTCTCTTCCCGTTCGGCACAGGAACGCTCGAATGGATCGGATCAGTACCATGCTGCCCACGCAAACTCGAATCCTATCCTGTTTAATCTTCAGCAACATGCAGCGGGTTGATAGACTACAACTTCGAACCTTTATTCAACTACAATCACTAGGCGTGGTGGCAGAGTGGTCTAATGCGCAAGACTAGAAATCTTGTTCCTTCGGGAGCGTCTGTTCGAATCAGGCCCACGTCGCACGAATGACCATTGAAATTCTTTTTTCTCTTTTTTCTGGGAGCTTTGTGCCAACATTTCCCGTTCTCGACATTCCCTTTCAAAGTGTTCACATTTTTGTCCCTATAGTTTCCTCTACACGAACATATCAGTGTCAAGTATGTTTTGACTATTCTCTATCCAAAGTATCCTATTGCATTTTGATAATACTATTGACCTTGTTAATTTGTCTGTCAGCGGATCTTGCACAGTCGAAATAGCTTATCCAACAATCATTAACGCTTACCTGCTTCTATAACACTGATGAAATTATCATTCAAGGTTGTAAGTTTGGCTGATTTCCTGTGCTCCCACCTAATAAGCGCATACCCGGACCTTGCCTTGCTGACAGCCTTTAGAAATTCTTTGAATTCATTTCTCATTGAACTGGTAATTCTCATGACCTACCGGACTGAGAGAAGAGACAGGGAACCAACCTATGGCAGAGGTCTCAAGTCTATCAAGCACTTTCTCTACATCTAGTGTATACCACCACGTCTCCAAAGGCCCATGTACAATCGAGTACTCCAAAGCCGAGTTGAATGAAATTATTGAAAGTTGTCAAACAATACTGACCATGATCACTAGCCGTGCCCAAATCGAACAATAGATACCAATCAACTTTATCATACCATACCCCCACGCCGCATGGTTCTTCAGTCTGCACAATACCATAGGCATGACAGCGGCGGTGATCGCTTCATGAAAGACGTATCAAGTAAGTTTGAATAACGCATATAATCTTGCATTCAAGGCACGCAATACTACCGGCATCGTTTGCCGACACCGTTACTGTTACGGTTGATTACCGTTACCGTAAAGGTCCGGTTTCAGTACACGGGTACCAACATGGACTCGGCTTTCGTTTTGTCGAACCTGAACTTCTTTTAAAATATGTATGCATGTGTGACCTTGCAACATTGGCCAAACCATATTCACAAAAACTTGGTACCGCGATAAGCGCGGCTGTGTGGTGTTGGCAGGACGAGTGTGTAAGCAACACTTGTAGGCAAGTAAGACATTTGCGCGCTTGTGATGATTTGCGATTTGCGACGTTCCCGTAACTATTTCCCGACGCCGATTCTAAAAGTCTTAAGCTTCCGTCTTGGGGATCCGGGAGGGGAAAGCTAGAAAGCTTGATCGCTGCGATGTACGAGGCCCAGGGAATCGAAATGTTGATGATTATTGTAAGGCATATATAGTGCTCTACCTAATTTTATTAAAGCGTTGTTTCATGACAAGATAGTCATCCACTTCTGCGATGCACCACGCTTCGTGTCGAGCGGTTCTGTGAAAGCTGAAAGATCCTCAGCCTAGTTTCAAATTCCGTTTCTAAAAATTTTGTACGGTACATTGCCTGTTGCTTTGTAGATTGACTGCGGACCAGTTACTTGCAGGCAGCAGAATAAAGATATAACTATAAGAGTGCAGAATGATAGCAGGCTAGGAATGATTGAAGGCAGTATGAAATAAACACTAGAATTTGACTAGAATAAGTAATGAAGAATTTGATTTCAGGACTTGATGTTTTGTATAGAGGTCGGCAAGGTGGCTCAGCGAAATCAAAGCCGCCCCCGACCTCATGTCTTTAGTCGAAGTAATTTCGATACTGTCACAGGCAGGCATCTTTGGTAAAGCAAACCAAACGAAATGTACCAAAGACTATTGTAACCAACCACCACCCAGCCACTAGGTTACCCAGCTCCCTCGAATCCCAACAGGCGAAAAGCAGCTTGCCAAGGCCGAGCTGAACAGAGCTGAATCGCAACCCCCAATCAGGCAGCCGGGAAACGAGGGTAAGGCGAGCCAGCAATTGACGACCCTCGAACTTGAGCCGCATATGTACCATACAGTACATATATCCGTATCAGACTTGGTAGGTACGTTATGAGGCTAGGGAGGTAGGATAGGTAGGTATGGTTTCACTGACACAAGCAACGGTCCGTCCTCGCGTATGACAAATCGGGACGGTAAGGTTGACTCGACTTGACCGTCAGGCACGCCATCTGCGACCGTTGTAGGCGCATGCTAGAAAGGCATCGAGGGTGCATAGTAACCCCGGACGGGGAAGTTGGTGATACCGTTATGTGATCAACCCCGGGAGTTAAAAGAGGCAGCGGGACATCCGTCTTGCTTCAGATGCTTCTTCGGACGGCAGTAAAGCAGGTACCTGGTCACGGTGGTGTCTGGAAGCAATTGAAAAGCCCCCACGCAAGATCCACTACATCCATATGGGCGATGTGTTTCAACACCGGACTGTGAGTAGGTACTTTGTACATAGTTGATTGATATCCCCGCTATGAGCCAGTCCGACTGGCAGTCGGATTATTCAGAAGTTTTTGCACATTTTGTACGCTCGGCGATGAATTTCCGGATGATATGGAATGCCGTAAAGCTTGTACCATAGTTGGTGACCTCTTTTGTGTCCCTTTGAAACGGACGACCGGTTTAGACGACGTTATGTAACAAGGGTACAGTACATCAGCCTGATATTGATCGTTATGTAACGTACGGTAGGTAGGGACCTGGAAGTAAGGATAACTTGAGATGGTCGCCTACAGATCAGTCTGGCATGTTCGATGTGATACGGAGACTCGAGTTTGCAAGGCACATTATGGGAGCCTCTGGATAACCCCCGTCTGCGGGCAGATATCACGGAGGCGCAATTGCCTCGAGGAGTGACCGAGTGGGAAGTTTTGCCGAAGTTTTGTTCAGATGACTGCTGCAATGTAACTGAAGTGCGCGAAATATCACTGCCTGCTTGGTTGGCGGGCTCCTGCCTGTTGAGGTTTGGGGTAAAGTTGGCGATCTCCTTAACTCCCAGGTGAGGCTGAAGACGAAGCTGGATTTCAATCGTGTAAATTACTAAGCTTGAGATGGTGCCAGCGACATACAATAATCCGGCGTCCCGTGAGAAGCATGTCGAAGACGGCGTTTGTCACCAACCATTAGTAAGACCGGTGGTGGTGCAGTCATAGTAGCAGCCAGACGGATGGAATATGAAATGGGTGCACATGGCAGCCATGTGGCTGCCACGCATTCCAAAAGATGACAAAAGGGCAATTTGAGATGGTGGTGTTGTGTGGTACTGAAGTATGGATTCTCAAGCTTGGTGGTCAGGAACATGCAGAGCATGCCAACGTGAGAAAAAGTGTGTTCGCGCTAGGGAACGGAGATGGTGTGGTAGGTCGTTATTGTGGTGTTCACCGGGTATCGGTCGGGTGTCCCGCCCGCAGCATCACATCATCCAATTCGGGACCCCCAGATTCCAGAAAAAGGGTTGGAAGCGCCCGCTTTGGCCCAATTAGAATACAAGCTTAACAGGAGGGGTATTTCCAGCAGATCGGCAGTCTCCACTTTCCTCAACGCAAACCCATGAAAAAGCTTGGCATTCCAGGAACGGACTCAAGAATTCTCCTTGGCAGTCGTGAGCCCCGCTAAACGGGAAGCTTAACGGAACCTAACTGGCGGGACTGATTTTAGAGTGGACCTCGTAGCTCAAGCAGGCGAGGTCGGGACGGTACTTATAAGCCACAAGCTTTGTAACTCCCATCGATCATTATGGTTCAACCGAGACACCAAGTCGACTATCCGCATACCGAATAACGGCTGCCTGTACGGGCATGACATTGTGCGACTTCACATTAAGCGCCTAAGCGCGCAAGGACCGTCTCGCAGTTGCTTGTCTTGGCTCGACAAGCTCTTCGGTTACCATCGTGCACTCCCAGCAATGACCGTCAGGATGATGGCTATCATATGTAGACTGATCACTAGATATGCAACTTCCATAGTCCCGGCGATCTTTTCTGGCGGATTCCAAAGGTGAAATTACTCAAGAAACAGCCAGGCTACTTGCAGGGGTCATGTTTACGGCACAGTAAACAGAGAGTAAACATCGGCCAAGTTGTGAATACCATATTGGGACACAACTTTCTATTGTCGCTATTTTCAAACCTCAACCACTTGCGGCATCGTGATGTGAAAGCTCCGAGTGCTTTCAGTGGTTTTGGATGTATCAAATTGCTATGAATAGGTAGTGACATCGGTATGTCCATAACCTGAAGTTGTTGTCATGCTTCTGACCAGGTAACACCAAAACGCTCTCCATAGGAACCTGCCAGGAGCAGCCAAGCCTAGTACCAGACAAGCTTGAAATATCGTGACCGGGGAAAAGGAAATCCATCGACGGGCCGTTCGCTATGAGCAACATGGCTATGAAGCACACAGTGCTCTTCCATTAACCATATTCCCGTCCCTTGACCTGTCCAAGTGTGTCCCCTCCCTACTTCCAGCGCAGAGATGAGGGCGAAAATGAAATTGGGACACTGGTAGTACAATGTGTAGTGGTTGTACTGGAAGAAACCTGCAACGAAAAACAAAAGAAGATTGAAGAAAGGAAAAATGCAGTACAGAAATTTGAACTGAGAACGCAAACCTGAACCCCTTTTCCAACACCAGAACCAAAAGTTGACTTTCCGAAACGCCTGGTATCGTACCACGTATGCATCGCACCATGCTACCCTAGTCTCTGGAGGTATCGAGATTTGTGAAACAAGAAGTGTAAATGAAAGGAAACATGAGCAAACTGAAGCTCAAGGTAAACCGTTCCGTCGTTTGAAGATATCGTGTGTTGTTGTACAGTTTATCGTTATGCCCGCTGTATCGGAATGCTGAAGCCATCGTCCACGCTATGCCTTCCCAAACCCCGCAAAACTATTCAAATCGAGTGACAGAATTAAAGGGAGTCTTCGACGTGATTCCTTATCTGAGGGAGCGCTACCGTGTCGTACTAGAGATTCCCAGAAAAGCCTGTCCCATCCTCCGGCAGGAGTGCGTTCACTGGTTCAGCGAGCCATAGGCCCTGATTTTTGGTCTCCGACAATAGACTGCTGGAATTTTGGGACCAGGCAGCGTCCTTCCAAATGACAAATTCGGGTGGTCGATCTTATAACAAACAAGGAGTCACCATAGTGTCTTTTGGCGCCGGTAAAGACCTCAGACTACCATGAACCCGGAAGAGAAGAGAGAGCTGGGATGGCAAACCAGCTGATCCACCTCCGAATGAGAAGATGAACGAAACCCAGTCCGCAAAGTCGAAGCGTTTGAGCCCCGCTGGATGCAGTGGACAGCAGCAATCCAGTGTCAGAGACACGATCCTTCATCGATAGTGGCCACGGGAGGAGGATTTGGGTGAGTGGCTTGATGAGTAGCCAGAGTCCGAGTAGTGTGATGCGCCGTAGGAATGTCCGCTACGGCGCGAGTGAATGCCGCAAGAGTGTCCTACCAAAACCTCCTTCTTATGAGGAGAATGGCCGGGTTGCCCATATGCCGCGCACCGATCAACAGCGTGCTGGTAGTAGAGGCACTTGCACACCGCGTAAAGTTCGACCACCTGATAGCACATGGTTGATAATCTTTTTTTCGATGTTTTTCGACCTTTGTTGTGGTTGATAGATGTTGGGAGTGGGTTTCCAGGGCCGCGGCCGAGATAGTGGATAGTCGGTTGGTTGGCAGAGGCAAAGTAGTTGTTGTAGTAAGAGACTTAAACGTATATACCGGGGAGTATGAGCCGGAACTGGGAGAGTTGGAGATCAAGAAGCTCCGAATAGGCGAGATACCGTGAGGCAAGGAGTCTAAAACTGAGAGACAGAGGCAGACTTGAGGAAAGCAGTAGAGTGGAAGCGACTGTTGATTAAGAAAGTGAGGCCTTGACTGATGATAGAATGAAACAGTGTTTGATATCGAACTTGCCAACCAACATCATGGAGGAGGGTATTTCGGCGGCCTTATAACACCTGATGTTTTGGCAGCCTGGCAAGGTTTGTAGAGTACCTTCTGCATGTCAACGGTACTGGATGGAGAAGTGACTGGGGAGCCATATGCGGCGTGAAGGCAGCAATGACGCCAGAGACCGCCGGGAAGACTACGGGAGGGGAGTGTGGAAGGCTCTCACCTAGACGGCACTTGGTCGTCTACTTGGTGACAAGCTGAGGTGACAACGGCACCGGGTTGGGGGTAGGGTACCTTGCACCTGGGCTCCGTCTCCGTACCTGGCTCGTACATGACGGGCAGCGCGGTGTCGAGTGTCGATGCTAGTATGAATGAAGGTAAAGTGTACCTCAGAGCTGGAAGAGGGCACAGGCAGGCATTGGATCTCTGGATTCAGATCAGGAACGTTGAAGGCGCAGCCGCAGACGGAAGGTGATGGTGTTTGAATGTTGAAGCAGGAACAGACGGAGAGAGTGCCAATGAGAATGAGAGAGAAGTCGAAGAACTACTACGCCGGGATCGAGGTTGCATTGATTACGGACAAGGGGTTGGAAACCGTTTCCGCAGAACCTAGTTCTGTATCTAACCCGTACCTACCTGTAATCTAGGTACCTACTGTAACAAGGAGCGGACAGGGGACAGCAACCTAGTAAAGGTGCCCTGTAAGGCAGGGTTCTACACACATACCTCCACAGCCAGTGTTATCAAGGGACTGTCGCCCAAAAAAAGACCACAGGGCACTGCAGCAACACGTCCAGGCCGTTCCAAGAAAAGGCCTGCCTCTGAGGCTGGAACCTAAATCGCACCTGTAGCCTCTTCCTTCGACTGGCCAGGGAAACGGTGGCTTCACCCGACCCTAGTGTACGATCACAGGTGCCTAAAAGCTAAGCTTTTCATAGGTAACCTTTTAACGGTTAGTTGCACTACTAACAACGGGTCTATCATGATACACTAGAGGTACACTAGCATGCCGTTGTGGGGGCCCGGCCTTCCTTCCATCTTTGGGTGCTCGTGGAGCGGTTACTGTACGGTGTCCTCCCGACCGACTTGCACTTTTGGGTTTTGCGAACCTGCGACGGCATGAAGGGAAGGACACATCCAAACATACATCCAAACGGTCCAGGTACTCACAAAGACATTTGTACCGTAGAGGACCGAAGCAACATACGGCTCAATTGAGCATTATCGCCGAAATTCAGGAAACTCTTGTCTATATCACCGAGCCGGTATGACTAACATTTCTTCCACAAGGTAGGTAGGTAGGTACATATCGTACGGAAGCCTGAGGTCAGGTCAGAGGTCACAACCACCAAAACCCACCACTTATATAGCTTGGTTTGCGGATTACCGCCTATGATACCTCGATCTGCTGCGTCTTGTTAGTATTCTCACCTCTAGCGCAGGTAAATCTTACCCAATTTTACCGCCGCTGTCACTTCCGGATTCGCACCACGAGAATGGACTGGCACTCCAGGCTTACGTTGACGTCAACCCCAGCGTCGCGTTCAAAGGTTTACCCGTTCTGTTTGGTCATTTTGCGCCCAGATCTCGGTAATCGGTAGACATCGTGTCATCACGACAGTGAGCCAGAGAAACGGCACGAGAAGGAGGGTCCCTGGCCCAGTTAACAGTGGGCTGAGGCTGACATTTGACCCTGTAATCCAGGGCCCCAGAAAGACGATTCTTTGCGAGAAACAGACGCAGGAACGCGGCTGCGATAGAAGTCTGGTAGTCAGACTTCGATACCTCGGTCGGACAACGACCGGTAGGTTGTGCAGAAAGAGCACGACCGTTTCTTGGTATACTCTATTCCCGATCTTGAAGGTAACTCCGGTGCCATGCCAGAATGCCCCGAGGTCCAAGGCTCCGAGTGTTACTAGCAAGAAGACGCCGTATTATTTGGACGGCACGGAATGGTTCCAAGGTCTGAAACGCTCTTGATGACTCTATACTAAGGTAAGGTGTTCAAAACATCCACTGGATGCTCCTTGGGTATTTGCCCGGCCGGATTATTTAGAGTCCTCTTCCAAGGGTAAAGGGTGGGAGGCATGCTGGGGAATGCCATCTTTGTTTAGATGGGAATCTTTTGACTGGCTCATAACGATCATTAGCCGCTCCAAGGTACCCTCCGGCGGTCATTGGAGTCAACGTGGAGAGGTTAATTTGCCTGCCTGAAGAGCAAGTTACCTTGTGATTGACGTTAAGGTAACGGGACATACATGGACCGAGCACGGCGGTAGTACGCACTGATCTCAAATAGAGCTCAAAACAAGCCGAGAAACGGTGCTCATTTTGCAAGCTTTCACAGCGGTGCTCATACTAGCTCTAAGAGCCGCCCGCAACGCTGACTTGCTCGAGCAGACTATTTTGCACCACCAGTCATAGGAAAATTCCCCGTTACAGCCAGATAGACTGATGGGTTACACACACGATCTTTGGTATCAGAGACTACAATGCAACCGGGGACCGGAAGACAGGAAGCGTGGTGGGGTCCTCGCCCACACATGTGGTGAAGGTCGCATTGAGTGGTGACACTGGGGCAACCACATCTTGATCCCCTGCGGATCTCGGAGAAAAGTGAAAGTCTACCTATGTACACGGCCATAAAAACGGGCTTGTCTCTTGAAACAAGCGCCAAGAGCTGGGGAAACGGCCATCACGGTCGCATATGAACTTTGGCGATAGTAAAGATGGGTATCTGGCGCTGAAACGTCATGTTTGGTACTGTAACAGTTGAAGCCTCGGCACTTTCAAGACGACAAGTGCTTAATCAGACACTACACTTACAGTCTGACAGGTCCCGATTTAGCGGATGCAGTAATCAGGAACGACATGGGGAGCGCTACCAGTACCACCACGGCGGCCTCTATGCTGACGCCAGACGGCGGCCAACCATCGGTAGGGCAGGCCCGGCATGGGTCCGGGAGCATTGGCCACCGCCCGGCGCCCCGGCGTGGGATCGGGCCAACTCAACGGGCCATCTCAACCGCATCATTGGGTACGGTACGTCGCACCAACCAATCGTTTAACGACATCAAGACGTTGAAAACACCTTCCCCAGATCACCGCGAAATAGCGTTCACCCACACTTCCTCCAGGATCCTGAATTACACCCATGAACCTAAGGAATCCGCAATAGTATACATGATGGATCCGTCCTGACCAGTCTTCACTCCTTGCCCTACAACCTCCGGCGCTTACCTACGGGGAGTCATGATCTTCGCTCCAGGTCGGTATGACTGCATCTAGGACGAACTCTGAAACATGTCGAGCCCTTCATCCGCAATAGCAAGGTTGACTTGGCTTCCCGTGAACCGGGTTCAACGCTGAGCCTTTTCCCATAGGCAGGATCCTGATCATAGCACCAGAGTTCTAGAAGGACCTCACAATATGGCGTAGACTTTTTTCTGTCATGACCTGCAGGCAGCCAAGGAGAAACCGTATCTCGCCCAATAACTGGCCAATGCTTGTCCCTTCTGATGCGGTGCATCATCAGTGGCCGATAGTGGTAAAACACACACCTAACCCTCCCAGACTAGTTACCGGTATGACACGGGCGAACGAAGCCACAGTAAAAAGGACCCGTATGAAATCATAGCGCTTGCCGTGGCCTCTCGATCCCGCGATTCGACGTAACATAGATGAGCGTGGACTCGCTTCCCACAAAGCGCGTGGCTGTCAAGATTTCGTATAAATTAGTGGTTGTAGCTTCTGTTAGTGCAGCTTGCCTAACATGTCCCAAGACGACCCCAGAACAGCTTGGCCCGCTAACATGGACTTCAACAGAGATTAACCAACCGCCTCTACCACTTTTGGAATTCCAAATCACACACGGGCTAATTTCCTCTATCGTTTTGCCCAAATAAGATCATCGTAGGAAACATGTGTGTCAGAAAGATCTATGCAGGTCCCTTCCACATGATTTCATCGACTTCCCTATCGTCTCTCTTCCCGTCGATTTCCACGATTTCAACCGTAACGGAGCCGCCCGCCATTGGTCACCGTCTCACCGGGCGCATATACATAGGCTCCAACTGTTGTTGCCCGGATTCCACACCGAGTCGATCCCGGTGGCTTCCGAATGTGAAACTCGTGACCATAAGGCACCCTTTACGAGGCATCTCTCCGTCGACTAAGAATCGAAACCGGTGACCCGGTACCGTGCCTGGCTCGTGACAATGGCATGAACTGCTGCAGACTGCATTCTGCACGGCCCAAGCCGCAGCAGCGATTCACCTTCCTGTTCCTGCATAACACCAGCCCTACGGCTATACATACAACTGCTCAGTCAACGAATATCAGGAAGGGCCACCATCTGACATTATGCGGATTGTCCTGCATTTGCGGGCATCAACAGAAGGACCTAGGTCAAGTCCGTGAACAGATTCCCGCCCCCTGTCTTTGGCCTTACATGGTGAAGGTATCACCACATAGGCCGTCCCAAGCCTGAGGCAACCCTCCCTCTTTTCAGCCTTGTGACGTGCATCAAGGATGTCGCAGACCACGATGCATGTCTAGTGTGAGTTTCTCATCTTTGAGACAAATGACAGAGGAACAGATGCCCCTGGCTTCTGTCCCCAACAACCCTAGCGCCAAGAACCTGTGATGTACAAGTGGGGATTTGCAAACAATGTCTCGCTAGACAACCAATCGCTTTGATTCCCGCCCAACCCATCCGATTTCTATCAACAGTCCAAAGACGTCAAAAGGTCCCGAGAGAGTTCGCAAGTGATCGGTGACTGACCGTGAGATTTTAAAACCACTGAGAGCAGAGATGGATAACCACATTCGTCCAAGCACCGCCTCAAACAGCTGATAAGATGCCACCAATCAGTTGTCAAGATATCTTGCGGATCACGGTCCCGACATCATTTTCTCCCAAGTCTTGAGGTCACAGCCCCTAATTCCGGGTTCAAGACGAATAAACTGTTGAATCGATATCTAATACCCTGGAGGAGAATCCGGGTCAGTACGGAGATGCCGTTGATCGTCCATCGTTGGCACGAAGGTGAACGGTCGGTCGACCATTGGCCGTCATCGAAAGGGCTGGATCCTATTCCTTGTCCGCTATCTCTAGTGTACACTACTGAGCGACGAATGGTGGGGCACTACGGATGGCACCGACACGGACACAAGATTAAACTTCAAGACACCCCCAGTCCAGTTCCGGCCCCCATCCGGCTTCCTCCAGGCAGAAGCGGAAGCTCCATGTTATCCTCCGGGAGCCCGAACCGGAAGGATGGGCCCCACATGCGGCGGAGAGCCCCACTTTACCTGCGAACCTGGCTCCAACGGGATGGACGACGGACCTCCAACATGAAGTCTATCTTCCTTTCTCTGTAAAAAACAACTGCTGAATTATCCAGCACCCTTCGATACTCTCTGTGCCGAGTAACACCCAAAATCACCATTATCACCACTGCCGCCGGACAGTCACTCCAGCATACGCGCCGGTTGTTGATGACGGTGCCTGAAGCTGAACGCTCGCTGGTCATCTCCAGGTAATTCATCCCCCCTCATACCCCTATGTACCTTTCTTCATTCCTGGCCAGGTGTTGGGATGGAAGTCCTCAAAGGCTGACGCCCTCGGGAAAAAGAACCAAAGACAAGCATTGTAGCCCTGCGATCGACTCGAACCTTGACAGTTTATATCGAAGGCCCTACATGGTATGATCGATTGATGGCATTGTCATACCGCGCAAACCTCACCTCACACATCAACTTCCACATACTACGCATGATGGATTTCTACCTAAGAGATTCTTGGCTCTTACTCACTCCCCGAAATGTTGACTCGATCTCAGCGCTCGGCACCCGTCCTTTTCGGTCCCCAATTTCCAGGATCGTCTAGTGGTTGTGAGGCTGTTTTGAGGAACAAGTGCCTATTTGACTTACTCAGAGTGAAATCACAGGCCGTCGTATGTCCCTAAGGCCTGGGTGCAAGTAAGCAGACAAAGTCTGCATAAACTACGACTTTCGTCTAGACCTAGGCATCATCAAACATTATTGTTGCGTATCTGTGGTATACGCTTGAATAAGCAATCTGAAAACGTATTTGGGCACACATACGGCCTAGAGAGAGTGAAGGAGGAGAAGCGAAGAGTGAGGCACCATTCACTATATTAGAAAAGATTGTACTGAACGAGAGTTACTCACTGGCTGATCTAGTCCGGTAAAGGCTTGCAAAATGCCTGTTCGATGCTATGAGAATATCGGAGAAATGAAACGTATGTATGCACTGGGAACACCGAACGGAGTCAGTCTTCTCTTATTTGACATAGGCGTGACTAAATACCCATCTCAGCCATCAACTCACAATCCTCTTATATCTACGTCTAACCAACTCCATGCATCCCCAAGGGGACCAGAATTACAGACTCTACTCAGACGAACGGCGTTTCCTCGAGGACTAACGGGCCGATCCGCTTTAACCAGTAATACTTACTCTATGTCTCCAGGCCTAATATAACCTACCATATCGGTCCTTTATCAAGTGCCCACTGCGTTAGCCGTCACAGTGCCGCAATCGTGCCCTTTCTCTTTACCTTCCCATCTCATCTCCTTACCTACCTAGAGGAAGGTAGTCTGTGGGCCTGTGGCGTCAATCTCTGTCGTGTACGTATGTCAAGTAAAATATGTACCTCAAGTTCTTTGTGAGTCTGCATGCCGCCGCAGACCAGACCATCCAAAGGGAAAAGATACATACAATCTACCTACGTATGGATGTGCAGACATGCATGCGTGTGTAGGTATGGTAGCCATACCACCGTCCACGCCACCACCACTATTGGGCAACACTGTCACGATGTTCACCTGGTTGCTTGCCGTCATTTTCAGAATCATTATTACTTTCTACCGGATTGTCCGGCCGGCAAAGCAGTGGCTGAGACGAGACCACCTCGGCTGCTAAGCCACTTCACTTTAGCACAAATGCTTCAACGTTGTTGATTGGATTGGCACCCTGAACACCTATGTCTGTCTATATTCCTCTGAGGGAGGGTGGTTGAGTTTGACTCTTCCCTGCAGCATGGTCCAGGGCTTGTTTTTGAAGAGAGACAGTCAAAGGTTCGTTGTGATGAGATGGATCGAGGTGGCCATGACGACAGCGAGGACGACTATAGTATATGTGTCTATATCAACAATAGCGAAATGTTTTGACTGGGAATAACACACAGGCAGTGACACACCAAGGCGAATGTAACTTTCGATACACACATACTCTATTACCTGCATGCCCATGTTACATGCGTGTATGGAAAGGTGAAAGAAAAAGGTGGTCATGCTTGAATGGCGAGTGTTAAAGTGAACACCGAGCAAATGTGAATATTGCGAACCAATTTGAGGAAGGATGAGATATGGAATGATTGATGACTTGTGATTATCTCTTCTTCTGGACCTCGTCATCACTGCACCAGTTTCTCATCTCTTTCTTTTCCCCGCGGAGCTAGAGCCGCTTCGATATATCCACCGTTCAGTCATCACATTCCCAACAAGCCCCCGTTATCACCCAAAAATTTATAGACACCTCTATACCTTCTTTCTGAACCACACCTCCAATACAGGACCACAATTGTAACGCCGTGAAGAGAGGGTGAAGTAAGTTATACACACGTAAAACGAATGATATGATGGACACACGTCTTTACTTTTTATCCCCATGCAGACACCAACCGTACTATGATGATGATGACGTTGACGATGATGACAATGATGACAAACGATGATGATGATGATGCACGATGCACAGGAGAAAGAAGCAAACGAGAAGAAAAACAATGACTGCACCTTTCGAAAAAGAGGTTGACAACTCATTTGAAAAAAAAAAGAAAAAAATCGAAAAAGAAAGAAATCAGGTTCGACGCCATGCTCGCTTTCGTCCGTTCGTTCGTTTGTTCGTTCGTACCGTATCGTTCGACACTTAGCATCCCCTACCCGAAAACTATAAAAATTCCCACACCGTGACCGTCACCCCTCTCTTACCCGTATGAGACTTTTTGATAAGCACCCAACACTTCTCGCTTCATCACAACATTCGCCATTTCCGGCGCCCATGTCCTTCCTATACCCAGTCGAACCCTTCTAGCCCATCGTTCCTCCTAGGCCCTGCGGCTCATCATGGCTGCTGT